AAAATGTACAAATGAGTGCTGAGTCCCTAGCAGCCAGAATTACCCTATGGGAACGTAGTTGAAGAGGGCTGCTATAGACCTGCCAAACTGTTGAATAGCATATGCTTATTAAGGGTGGGAGCGGTATCATGAGTATGTACCTCAATTAATATTTACAGGAATATTGCTTACAGTAGATTCTAGAAGACCTAGCATTTTATTTCTAATTTCCACCCATCCTGAAATTTGTGTTCATACCTCTCAATTTTCTATGTAACTCTTTCTTTGTAACTTTGAGACTATGGCAGAACTTCAAGGGATATCACAGTGGCTGTTTCAGAATGAAACAACAAAAAAAAGAAGTAACAGGGCAGTAGCAGTTTAGTAATTGAACCTAAGCTCTGAAATGTTTAATGATAAGAATGGTAAATATTATCAAAACCACCAAGTTATATAGGAAGTATAGACTTGCTGATTTATATGTGCGTGCATATATATATATATATATATATATATATATATATATATATATACACATATATATATGTGTATATATATATGTATATACATATATATGTGTATATATATATATGTATATATTCATCCTATAACAATAAAATAACAAAACAGAGGTTTTATTGTAGCACCTGCCATCTCTATTCAACACTTATGACAAAATATCTTAAAAGCAATTCACATTGCATTGTGAATTTTGCCAGCTGTGTTAAGAATTTTCTCTTAAAATTTTCTCTTAAAAGCAATTCAACACTTATGACAAAATATCTTAAAAGCAATTCACATTGCATTGTGAATTTTGCCAGCTGTGTTAAGAATTTTCTCCTCCTTTCAAAAATAAAATTTGATGTTTTGGAACAATTTTTACTCACCTCTAAAACCTATTTTTCTTAGTTTCCTGTTTTCTGATGTTTTACTGTACCTGTTTAAGCTCTTTCCCCAAAATAGTGGGAGTTATTATCAAATATCTAATAATGCAAAAAGAATGTGTTTTCTGAGGTTTTTCTTTTCCTCTTCTGAGAAGTCATATAAAAAGCTGTTTTTAAGCCTCTCTCCTTTGGGGGTGCCAAATTAAGGACTGCCTCTCATTCACAGATAGGAGTAGCACAATCAAATGGGGTGTGATTGTTTTGTTCAAAGAACATGCGGTTCTGCATTTCCTTCATTTCACATCAAAATTATCATAGCCAATAAACAGAACAGCAACTACAAAACAAGTTTGCTATTACTTCTAAATTAGTGTTAAAATTCAAGAAACTGGTAAAATGGCTCTTTTTGCATCTAAGGCCAGGACAATATGCTGAACAGTGATTTATTAAGATCCCACTGATATTAAGAACTAGTTAATGGTTAACTATGATTATGCTTTCAAATAGCAGTGATGATTTGAAAGCACTGGATAAAACCTCATGTTTCAGGGTACATGAACAATTTTGTTTCCTTAAGTTTAATCAAAACTCAATCTTGTCTTTTGCAGCCCTGCTAAGGTTATTGTTTTTTAGTATGCATCAATAAATAAACTTCCAATTATCTTGGTAAGCACATCCAAAAATAGCTTGAGATTTCAAAGGCAATGGTGTATCTAGTAATTGTTCCAAATATATAATTTTAATAGATAGGATCTTTTCTTAATTTCAGATGAAACAGAAATCTTATGAAATTTAATTAGTTTTGCTAGAGTTAAACTATGCAGAAATACCCAGTGAAAATGGACATTCTGTTTTATTAACTGCATATGCTCATCTTTTATACCAGTTGTAACTTGTTAAGAGCATTTAAATTTTTTTTTTGTAAATGATTAATTTACAAGAAAAGTTATTTAAGTTGAAAAAGGTGAAGGATTTTACATTCTGCTTTAAATATATTATATGTATACATTTATGTGTGTATATATGTTTATGCATGACAACTGTAAGTTTAATTTTTGCCAGTTTAATTTTTGTTAAAAGGTATTTTTCTCTATCATGTTTGATCTGTATGTTAACTAATGCCAACAATATTTAGCTCAGCTAAATGAAAGGAAGACCCGCTTTTTAACTTTTGAGTGTGTACTTGCGTGTGTGTGTGTGTGTGTGTGTGTGTTTTGTGGTAAATTCCATTGCCTGTGACTTTTAAATTATTTTCTGAGACCTTGCTGCAAACTGTTTATTCATGTCTCTCTTGTATAAAGCTCCTAAAATGCCCAGTCATAGGATATGTAAGTTGTTATTTTCTCCACTCATTATTTTGATAATATTTAAAGAAAAAAATCCTAATGGAAATTCCCTAGAAATAACTTACAGGACTAATGAATTTATAGGTCTTTTAGACAGTTCTACATTACAGTCACATTAATATTCTCTGCTTTTTATAAGGCTTGAAGTAAATCCCATGACACTAGAAGAATTTAGATACTGATTACTCGCGATTGGTTCCTGGTGATTTGCTCTTAATAATTTCCAGTTGAATTTAATGAAAGTATGATTCCTGAAATGCTGCTTCATTAAAATTGCATCTTTTTCTCTTTAAGTGTGGTTTCAGTCATTTCACCCATTTTGTGGTGTGTTTTCCTCCCTGTTAAAAAGCAATGATTGAGAAAGCCAAGACAATTAAGCATATCACTTTAGTTCTTCCTAGAACTCACTGTCACAGGCTCTCTGAGCTAACTGATGCGAGTTGCACTTCATCAGGATTCACAGTACTATTTTACCTTTGGAAGAGATTATTTTAAAATGTGCAAAATTTTAAAACAAAAATATACCAAGATTGGGGTAGCCGAGGGAAAGTGAAGAAAAAAATCCGTTGCATGTACAAGAGAAATAAGGTCTTTCATTATTTTTACTAGATATATACGCATACACATATATAAAGGTTGATTAAGTTATACTGTGCAGCATTCAGACTTAATTTAACTGAGTTGGTGATTTGCAAATGAATATCTACATGGATCCTTTTTTAAAATCCAAATGCAAATGAGTACAACTGCAGTAAAATATATTTGCAAATGAATCCTGTTGCTTTATTCATTTATTGTGTAATTACTGCAATCCTTCCCACCTTGTTTTCAGTATTTCTTAATCATTAAGTCGGAAGCATGACAGCAGTGCCAGCCCTGGCATGATTCTCTTTGACTAAAACCTTGTAAATTAACACAATTAGCACAGCATCATCCTGCTAATTAACTTCCAGTGTCTGGTGCAGTGGTTTTGCAAACAAGGAAGAGGGAGTCAGAAGGGAATCAACATGCCATTCTGTTACCAAACTGTGTGCTGTGTTCAGTTTAGCTCAGTAAGTCAAAGCTGGCCATGTCAGAAGCCAGAGCCAGGCAATGAAGAGCTAAAGGGGTTGAAGGAGGAGAACAGAAGGTGGTAGAAGCTGTCAAAATAGACTGGTAATTCAGAAGGGAGCTGATGCCACAGATGCTTCATTTAGACCAGGCCTCCTTCTTATCAAGGAATCTCTGCCAGAGGGCACAAGACGGTTTGCAAAATTCACTTTGGGTAATACAAAGGAGATTAAGGAGATTAAGTTCTGTACCAGAACAGGAAATGCTCCAACCAAGCAGAAATTAGAATGGGATGATAGGGTGATAGGAAATAAGAGAACAGGGTTCCAGTTTTCTTCTGCAAATAACTACCTGTGAGGCCTTGAAGGATGCTTTGGGAATCTCTTTGGACCATGTTTTTCTAATCTGTGAAATAAGTTCATTTTCAAGACCTTTTTAAAAGTTTAAATTCAAATGATTCCCTGATTCTAACTGCTTAGTATGTTCTCTTATTATGGGGAAAATACTTATTTTACAGTGTGTTCAATAGTCACTTTGCTTCAGTTAGTAATCTAGCCGATGACAGAATTTCATATATGAGCCCATTATGTAGTATTATTTTTTCAGTTTCTGCCACACACAGCTTCCTGTAGAAATGTAAAGAGTTAGAAACCAGAATCTCTCTCCAGTCTTACCTTCCTTTTTTAGTTTCCCTCCTCTCTCTCATATGCATATATATATATGTAATCATATGTATATATGATGTTCTGCCCTCCCCTCTTGGTAAGATGGAGGCTATAAAGGGAGGAGGATTATAAGAGAAGAAGGGAGAATGCTAGAAGACGGACAGACAATTGATGCTTGTTTTTTTTTCCAGAGACTCAACAACAGAACTGAGAGGCAGAAAGGAGCCAGTTGTAATTCATACCGAGTTGTAGGCTTTGTGCGATGAAAGCGATGGAGCGCTGCCTGGGAGATTGCTTTGCTGCACTCCACGAAGCAGATTTGAAACTGTCGTGGACCACTTTAGATGAGAGTTGGATTATGGAATGACCTGCTATGTCTGTGTCATATTGTTCTGCGCAGGGAGCATTATACTGTGCTAACTAGGTGTTCAGTACCAAATAAGAGAGGTATCCTAGATGTGATCTGTCAGCTGTGTCTCATTTTTATATTGTTAAAATATAAAACAGAAACTGTGATGTGAAGAGACAGAATAGCTAGATATTGTACATGTTAATACTATCATATGCCAGATATTTAAAATCCATGAATATTTTATTGGAATAACCCATGATTGAATTCTCATCTGCAGAAATGTGTGTGTACATATATATATTTGTGTATGTGTGTGTAATATACAGTAAATTGATGGGCTTGACAGAAATAGATTTGCTTATTACTTAAAAATGAAAAGCATTGGGTCTTCTACAGAGTTTTCTTTTAAATGCAGTTTACTTTCATAGAGGGCTAAAATTCAGTTCATTTTAAAGAGTTTATATTATAGAGATCTGATTGGAAATGTAGCTCAGTGGTAGAGTGCTTGCCTAGCATGCACGATGCCCTGGGTTCAATCCTCAGTCCCACAAAAGCATAATACAGAGATCATAATGGGTACTGTAAGCTGTGGAGATACTTTATAATGTAGATATCATTAATGGAAGATAATAGGTGGAAAAAGCATTTGGGGGGAAAGCTTTAAGACCTATGATGAATAGCTATGTGAATTAATTGTTTCCACCACCCTCCCCCAAATCCTTAGGCTTGAAGATGCAGTGGACGCCGGAGCATGCCCAGTGGCCAGAACAGCACTTTGACATCACCTCAACCACTCGGTCTCCTGCCCACAAAGTTGAAGCCTACAGAGGTCATTTGCAGCGCACCTATCAGTATGCTTGGGCGAATGATGACATATCTGCTCTGACTGCATCCAACCTACTAAAAAAGTATGCAGAGAAGTATTCTGGCATTTTGGAAGGTCCTGTGGACCGACCTGTTCTCAGCAACTATTCAGATGCACCATCGGGACTAGTGAATGGTCGGAAAAATGAAAGTGAACCCTGGCAGCCTTCCTTGAATTCCGAGTCTGTGTATCCCATGAACTGTGTTCCGGATGTTATCACCGCCAGCAAAGCCGGAGTCAGTTCAGCCCTCCCTCCAGCAGATGTCTCTGCAAGTATAGGGAGCTCTCCTGGGGTGGCCAGCAACCTGACAGAACCTAGTTACTCAAGTAGTACCTGTGGAAGCCACACCGTACCTAGTCTTCATGCAGGGCTCCCATCTCAGGAATATGCCCCAGGATACAACGGATCATATTTGCATTCTACTTACAGTAGCCAGCCAGCACCTGCACTTCCTTCACCTCATCCATCTCCTTTGCATAGCTCTGGGCTCCTACAGCCACCACCGCCACCTCCTCCACCACCAGCCCTGGTCCCAGGCTACAATGGGACTTCTAACCTTTCCAGTTACAGCTATCCCTCTGCTAGCTATCCTCCTCAGACTGCTGTGGGGTCTGGGTACAGCCCTGGGGGTGCACCCCCTCCTCCTTCAGCATACCTGCCTTCAGGAATCCCTGCCCCCACTCCCCTGCCCCCCACCACTGTTCCTGGTTACACCTACCAGGGTCATGGTTTGACACCTATTGCACCCTCGGCTCTGACAAATAGTTCGGCAAGTTCTCTTAAAAGGAAAGCTTTCTACATGGCAGGGCAAGGAGATATGGACTCCAGTTATGGAAATTACAGCTATGGCCAACAGAGATCTACACAGAGTCCTATGTACCGAATGCCTGACAACGGCATTTCAAACACAAATCGGGGGAATGGCTTTGACAGAAGTGCTGAAACATCATCCTTAGCATTTAAGCCAACGAAGCAGCTAATGTCCTCTGAACAGCAAAGGAAATTCAGCAGCCAGTCCAGTAGGGCTCTGACCCCTCCTTCCTACAGTACTGCTAAAAATTCATTGGGATCAAGATCCAGTGAATCCTTTGGGAAGTACACATCGCCCGTAATGAGTGAGCATGGGGACGAGCACAGGCAGCTCCTCTCTCACCCAATGCAAGGCCCTGGACTCCGTGCAGCTACCTCATCCAACCACTCTGTGGACGAGCAACTGAAGAACACCGACACGCACCTCATTGACCTGGTAACCAACGAGATTATCACCCAAGGACCTCCAGTGGACTGGAGTGACATCGCTGGTCTCGACCTAGTGAAGGCTGTCATTAAAGAGGAGGTTTTGTGGCCAGTGTTGAGGTCAGATGCATTCAGTGGACTGACGGCCTTACCCCGGAGCATCCTTTTATTTGGACCTCGTGGAACAGGCAAAACATTACTGGGCAGATGCATAGCTGGTCAGCTGGGGGCCACGTTTTTCAAAATTGCTGGTTCTGGACTAGTCGCCAAGTGGTTAGGAGAAGCAGAGAAAATTATCCATGCCTCTTTTCTCGTGGCCAGGTGTCGCCAGCCCTCAGTGATTTTTGTTAGTGACATTGACATGCTCCTTTCCTCTCAAGTGAGTGAGGAACACAGTCCAGTCAGTCGGATGAGAACCGAATTTCTGATGCAGCTGGACACTGTACTAACTTCGGCTGAGGACCAAATCGTAGTAATTTGTGCCACCAGTAAACCAGAAGAAATAGATGAATCTCTTCGTAGGTACTTCATGAAACGACTTTTAATCCCACTTCCTGACAGCACAGCGAGGCACCAGATAATAGTACAACTGCTCTCACAGCACAATTACTGTCTCAATGACAAGGAGTTTGCACTGCTCGTCCAGCGCACAGAAGGCTTTTCCGGACTAGACGTGGCTCATTTGTGTCAGGAAGCAGCGGTGGGCCCCCTCCACGCCATGCCAGCCACGGACCTTTCAGCCATTATGCCCAGCCAGTTGAGGCCCGTTACATATCAAGACTTTGAAAATGCTTTCTGCAAGATTCAGCCTAGCATATCTCAAAAAGAGCTTGATATGTACGTTGAATGGAACAAAATGTTTGGTTGCAGTCAGTGATAACGTCTTTTTTTAAAAAAAATGCAATGAATGTTGGCACACACACATAAAACCTGCTACATAGGGAATAGAGCCCCTTTCCAGTAGTGTTTAAATTGCAAAGGGTACTGGGGAAGACGACAATTAAGTTGCATCTTTATAGAGTCAGGGTAGATTTGGAGGAAAAGTGGATCAAATGAGAGCTTCTGATTTGAAAGCCCCAGATGACAGAAAGCGTTCGCGGATGCTCAGTTCGGTTCAAGCTAGACAACACTCACCAAGGAGCAAGGTGCAAGTGTGTTGATTTCAGAAGGACATGAACCTCGTGTGTTGATTCCATTCTGCTGTTCTCGAGATTTAGTTGCTGTCAAGTGCCTGGAGTGGTGCTTTATTTTTTGTTTGCCTCACAATTACATTGGTGGCATGTGCTAATATAAAGAGCTTTAACTTCAAACATTATTGGACTAAAGAGATGAACGGTTGTGTTACAAACAGAAAACCAGATTTTTGCCATTTTAAGAGCAACAGTATTCCTCAATCCTGTCTGTTCTGCAGTATTAAGCTAAGAACAGGTAAAACAGGGTAACGGTAATCTGGACCTTAATTTCTGCAGTTCATTTCTTTTAATGTTCTTGTCTGCAAAAACTCAGGAAAGTGATTGTGATTTGTACAGTACCTCAAAGGAATGTGTTGAAAGCACTATGTACTGCTGAGAGTAATAGGATAGGCTTCAATGTTACTTTATATTAAAATGTATGTTTACCTCAACAATTGGAAAATAGCAAGGAAAATTACTTTGAATGTATCCAGAAAAATACTGAAGTGTGATACAACTGAATACTTATGATTTAAAGTAGAAATGGAAGGATTTTTTAAAAGTTCTTTTACTAATTATGGGGAATTAACCAGAGCAGAATAATTCTTTATGTCAATAACTGCAAGAGTTCTTAGTACATTGCTCCTTGATAATTAAGTGAAATGTTCTTAAAAGGTACACTGGTTAATGGAAAGCTACTTATTCAGTTTGTGTTAGTGTCTCAAACAGTCAGCCACAGACCTATTTAGGACCCTGAAAGTCACAGTACCTGAAAAGGAGGACTGCCTTTTACTGCCTAGCTGGTAGTGGGGGTGGTGGTGGTGGTAGTTTGCAAGTTCTCCTTAAACTGCTGGGAATGGTGTCGTTCTCTTCACTAATCTAGCTTATAGGCTTGCCATGCTGTTTGATAGAATGCAGAGGATAGCAACCCAAACCCACAAACAAGGAAAAATTTAAAAACAACCAATATGTATCCGCAAAGAGCCTCTCCATCCCTTCCCCTTTTTGACTTCACTCTTGTCAGTGCAATTCTGCTTCTCATTTTGAAATCCGGGCTCTCGTGCTCCTGCGTTCATTTCTACCTCAGTTTTGTTACGTTTCTCTTGGAAAGCAAAGTAGGAAATTGAAAGTGGACACACACACCACAGTATAGCTTGCCAAACATGTTGCTTTGTTTCCTTCCATCTCTCCGCATACATCAAGTTTCCCAGAACATTAGTCTTTATGCTTACTTCTGCCTCAGTCCACCACCCGCCTCTCCTAGCATATGTGGCATTTTTCTTATTTCCCCATTCCTCTTCTGCTTCCCACCAACTTGTTCTTTGTATCCTTTAATGCTTTATGTGCAACTTTTCATCGAGAGCCGGCTGATGGTCACCAATGCCTCTGAACAGTCACACTGCAGGCTGTAGCTTACCAAAGCCACTGCCCATGCATAAGCAGAACAGCCTAGCATTTTGAATGTATTTTCCTGTCTTTTTATTTTTATTTTTATTTTTATTTTTTTTAGTTTAGAAATGCAGTAACAAAACTGTTGCAAAGCACTGGCATTTTATGTATTCAATAAGTGATGTACATTTTAATAAATAAATAAATAATAAATAAATAAATAAATAAATGCAATGAGAAGCCCCGAGAAAGGTCTTTCTGTTAATTTTTTTCTTTCAATTTTTTTTCTTTTTTCTTCTTCTTTTTTTTTTTTTAACTGAGCTCATCCACAATGTTAAATTCCTTGAAACATTTAACATAGAAAAACTGGTAAGGGACTTTATGACATTTCTTAAATTTTATGATACTTGATGATTATCCCACCCTTCACTTTTTTTTTTTAATCTTTCATGTTGGTAAAAATCGAGCAAATGAACCAGAATTTAATTCACTATGATATTCTATCAGTTGAAACTGTGCTTAAACATAGATAGTTCATATTAAAAAGCAGTGCCTTTCATTAAGGATACAAAAAATAATACTTAAACATGTCCTCTGCTTTTCACAAGTGGATAAAAAGCTGTGATCTGGGTCTACTGCGTATATCCCTTGTTGTAAGGAAATTCTGGTGTCCACATTAACTTGTAGGTTCACATTGATCTCACTGACAAGTTTCCTTTTGCACAGTGCTGACCTATTTTTTTTTGTCTTTGAGACATTACATCTCATTTCCGCCAACATGTGTGTTCACTTGAAAGCATCTGGCAAGTTTCGACAAACCGAGTCTTATTTAGACAAATTTGGAAAAATTCTATACTGACCCACATTTTTTTTGTGACTAGTGAGACTTAATGCCAAATATATGACTGCACTATTGTGTTTCAGACTCATTTATAATAAGACTGAAAATAAAGTTATACATTATTGGCTTTTAGCTTTAAATGACTTAAAGTTAATTCCAGATAAGAGTGGTCAAAAGTCCATGAATTTAGCAGAAGCTTAAGTTGAGTGTGATGTTCATTTAGCCTCACCAGTTCTGGGATTTGCTCTCTTAGGAAATTGGACAGGATGAAGAAATGAAGATCTTTTGGAGAAGCTAAGGCTGACCTTTGAGTAGAAGTGCTTGCCTGTGATTCTTTGATTCTACATGTAAGCCCTTCTGTAGATTAGCTTAATAACGAGCTCTTTTCTGACCATCTGTTTGGGGCCTTTGGGATGGAGTGGGTTCCACATCCTCAGAGATGACTGTGTACCTTGGAGATAGTACCTTGAAGCTGAGTAACCAGCTTTATACTCTTGGCCTCTTACTGACTGTGAAGAA